TTCTTGGTAAGGTTTTTAACGAAACAATCATGAATTACAAATTTAATATACATCATTAATATACATGATTAATTTATTCAATTGTGTTAATAATGTCTATTGCATGTTGAATTTGATTTTTATATAATTTTAACACAAACTAACTTAATAATTATAAAATTTAAAAAATATTTAAAAAAATTCGGGCTATTCGGTCGGGCTCGGGCAGCCCGGCCGGGTTCGGGCAGCCAAATATAAGCTCGCGGCTTGTTCAATGGCATTTTCGGGCTCGGGCGGGCAGCCCAAATTTTTCGGGCGGGTCGGGCTCAGGCTCGGGTAAAAACTCAGTATTTTTGGACGATCGCAAGCGACCCGTCCAAAGTTTCAGCACTACTCCAAAGTCGTCTATCTAGTCAGAAGCAACCTCCAAAATGTCTGACCCTCCCCACTATAAATAGGGCCTTTCCCTTCTCCAACAAGGCATGAAAAAGGTCTTTTTTTTTCCCTCTACTCTTTTCCTTAGACTTTACACTTCCAGGTCTCATAAAGATGATCGTCACACTTATCATCTCTCACCAACAGACTAAAAGCCTTGTCCATTTCCAAGTTTGAGCTGTAAGTTTCCAGGTTCAATGTCATTTCTTGAAGTTCTAAGAAACTTAAGATCTTCATCTAGACCAATTTTTATGTCTATTGCATGTTGAATTTGATTTTTATATAATTTTAACACAAACTACTTAATAATTATAAAAACTAAAAAATATAAAAAAAATTCGGGCTATTCGGGCGGGCTCGGGCAGCCAAATAAAAGCCCGCGGTCCGTTCAAGGGCATTTTCGGGCTCGGGCTGGCAGCCTGAATTTTTCAGGCGGGTCAGGTCGGACATCGGGTAAAAAATTGATATTTTCGGGCGGTCGCAGACGGCCCGTCCAAAGTTTCAGCACTAATATAGATGACATGATATAATATATGTATATATATCTATCAAAGAATATGATATAATATGATATATAGAATATATAGTGTATATATATATATATAATTTTGTATTACAATTTCCTCTCCTAATTACCAGGTAGATAATTCTCATCATTCATCAACGTTTGTGGAGCACACAAACAATAAATATGATTGAAGGGATAGTGCTAGCTAACTAATTATGAAAATTAGTTAATTATACGGCATATTTGTTTGACTGTATTATAACATTATATTGTATAATAATACAATAATACAATATTTAGTGTAATCATTATATTGTATAAATTAATACGGTTTATGTCGGGCAAATTGTATTATTTTATAGTAAATCAATAATTTATGTCGGGGTTGGGCAAGATAAGGGGTCGGGGTCGGGCCAACATAGCCTATAATTGTTGAAAAATTTAGAGGGATAAAATGTAAATCTTTTATATTTTAAAAAAATTTACATTTTGATCCCAAAATTAATAAAATTTTGCATTTTGACCCCTCATACAATCTGTCATGACACCAAATACCATATCGTATTATGATAATACAATATAATATAAGTTACCGAACATGGGCATATAGATTAGGAATAATATAATATTAATCAACCTAGAATAGAAGACAGATAATGAAAAAGAGCAGGATCCCAAGAGGAGGAGGCAGCAGCAGTAGTAATATTATTATTATTACAATCATTGGAAGCAGCTCCGAAGAAGGTACCATTCATCATGATGTTGTGATCATCAGACGCCTCAAACTGATCATGTTGGTCGGATTCGGAGGAGTAGCAAACACCACCAATAATATTACTAATATTATTAGGCTCCCCATAAATATTAACAATATTATTCCCATGATCCATAATATTAGTATTCAACACGTTACTAATATTGCCACAACTACTGTAGTAATGACTAGTATGATCACTAGGAAAGGCGCAGACGTTGTTGTGAACTTCATGAACAATATCACCTTCTGCTTCAACATGAATAATCTCGTGGTTATTGGTGGGCCACGGCAGTTGATGATGATGATGATGATGATCTTGATCTGGCACGGACGACGATGGTTGCGCCTTTCCACCTGCACTAGTAGTACCAGGAGTACGGAAGTTGTTGAGTAGCTGGGGTGCCGTATTTGAAGGCGCATGATTAATACAAGTATTTGTATTTGAAGGCGCATGACTAATACAAGTATTTGTATTTGAAGGCGCATGACTAATACAAGTATTTGTATTTGAAGGCGCATGACTAATACAAGTATTTGTATTTGAAGGCGCATGACTAATACAAGTATTTGTATTTGAAGGAGCATGACTAATACAAGTATTTGTATTTGAATCGTGGTAGAGGAGCTTGGCTTTAAGGGCGCCGAGGAGGCCATCAGTAGTCGTATTAGAGGGCGCGGATGACGACGAATTAGATAGTTGCTCGAACGAAAATGGCTCGAGGGTCTCAGGAGGAGGCGGGTGGTGGTGGTGATTGTGGGAATTTGGGGGCAATTGGAAGTTGGTGCGGGCGTTGACACCGCGCAAAGCGCGAGCAGCATCATCGTAGGCGCGGGCTGCCTCCTCTGCGGTGTCAAAGGTGCCGAGCCAGAGGCGGACCTTCTGGACGGAGTCCTTGATCTCGGCCACCCATCTTCCGGAGGGCCTCTGCCTCACTCCTACGTATCTCTGCTGTCCTCTCGACCACGATTTCCTTGCAGACCTCATCATCACCATCACCACAATATGCATCAACCAGGCCAAGGCAGGGCCTTCTCTTATATATATGTGTGTGTATATATATATATATGTATATAACATCATCAATATGCTATATGCCTAGATTTATACGCCACAACTGAGGTTACAAAGTCAGAATGTAATTAAATAAGTTTGGAATCTGCAACTGCTACATGTAGACATATATACGGGGACAACCTAATTTTTATTTTAAAATTTCGATCGATATAGTATGGTATTTAAAAATGGCTAAAAATATTATGTCCCTATCTTATTCTTATTAGGCAGGCCTTGGTCCCTCTCGTTTATATCGGCCTTATATATTGCCACCCCCACCCACAATTGGAAATCATCCTCTCTTGCACATTCTTCCTCATCACTGTGTTGCAAAAGCTTTTCAAAGGAGCACCTTAGTAGTTTCTAGAAATAATAATAATAGACGGACACATCGATATTAAGAAAAATAATAATAATAGAAGGTATACTTATGTAATTAACCAACTACAGCATTTTTTTAATGGACCACACTAACATCTTAAAACTAAGGTAAAAAGGAATATTTAATTAAGGACACATTTAAGAAAAAAAAAATATTTGAAGAGAGAATAATATATTAGAGACATTATGTTTATGAGGAAATAATAATAGAGCGAGTTGCAGGATAAAAAATATTTAAGGAGAGATATATTTATGAAAAAAAAATGGGAAAAATTAGAAAATAAATAGTAATAAGGAACACGTTTGACATTAAGAACATTATATATATAAATATATATAATTAAGTATTTAACTAGAGATACATTTCAAAAAAGTTGATGGGGATGAACAGATGAAAATATATATATATATATATATATATTCTTTTAGCCAAATTTGGTTAAGAGAGAAAAAAGTTGAATTAATTTTATAAATGCCCCCAAATTTTTTTACCTTGTTTTAAAATACTCTCGATTTTTCAAAACACCTTCAATGTATAGAAAACAAGTCAAAATACTCATTCCATCCATTTTTTGTCTATAATGTTAACGGAATTGATGACGTGAAATATAATTAACAATTAACTAAAATCATTAATTCCAACTAAATCTATAAAAATGATTAGATATTAAAACAAACTTTTTTAAAAAAATAAACTATTTAAAAAAGACATGTCTACAGTAGAGTGAGCCAATTCACCGTGCTGGTAGAGTGAGATTTGATGGACCAGATAGCCTATATACTCCCTCCCACGTCAAATTATAGCTTAAATACATTATATTTTTAAAATATATATATATAATGATTATATTCAACAATTGAAATTTGAGAATAATCAAAAAATTAATCCTAACTTTTTGTAAGTCAAATTAAATCTATTTGCACACTACAAAATCATATTAGTTTTTAATAAATATCAGATTAATTATCTGAATAAATTTCACAAATTGAAAATCAAACTAATTATACAATCTTCACATTAAATTTCACAAATTAAAAATCAAACTAATTGCACAATCTTCACAATTTTTTTCCTAAAATAAAACACTCTCCAAATAATGGTAATCAAATTAATTATCGAAATAAATTTCACCATTTTTCCTAAAATAAACAATCTCCAAAACAGTCAGCCTTCTCCACAAATGGTAGCCGACCGTCGCCGGTTTCTCACGCGCCGTCGCCTGAGATCTCTGATGGTGATACCGCCTAAATCATCGCAATCAGAAAAAGACGCTAATAAAAAACCTGTAAATATCTCGACGGAGATCAGCTGAAAACACCGTCATTCGCCCCCCACGAAATTGTGATTCGCGAAGAACTCTGACCACTGGCAAATCACCAATCCGCCAACCTGCAAATTTATGACTGTTTGGCTTTTCTTTTTTTTTTAGAATATCTGATTTAAGTGAGTTGAATGTAGATATTTCTTCAATAATGAGTTTGACCTGAATTTTATTAGTAGTTTTTAGTAATTAACCTCTTTTGTTAGCTTAATTTGTTAGCATTATAGACATAATTAGATGGATGAGGTGCTTTGATCAATTTTTATACGTCGGGTGATGTTTTCAACTGTTTTAAAAAATTAGAGAATATTTTAAAACATTGTATATACTTTAGGGTATTTAAGAAATTAATCAAAAAAAAGTTTTGTTAAATTTTTTGTTGTTTGGTGCGTGGGACTCGTATGATAAAATAAAAAGGAGGTCGTGTGATAAAAACGACAACAGAAGTGGACGCCGCTTACTTTTAACGCAACGCGGTGCTTATAGTATAAGAGTGTTTGGGGAATGAAATTTATTTTTTATTATTTTCAAATATTATTAATCGAATTGACACTTTACAGAAAAAGAAATCGAAAGAAGAAGAAGAAGAAGAAGAAGAATGATCCGACGCAGCAGCATTTGATTTGATTTGCGTTTGGGCCCCTCCGCCGATCCCTCTATTTTCTTCCCTCACTCACATAACTATCTCTTCGCCGGTCGGGAGTTCTCTCCTGTCTTTCCAGTTCCAGATTCGCTTTGGGGTTAGTTTTCTTTCCTCTTCTCTTTCAACTATTTTCGCCCTAACCCTAACCCTAATCCTACTTACGAGCCCCGATTCCAATTTTCTCTCTCTAAATTCTTCCCGACTTTCTTGCGTTGTATTTTCTCCTTTTTCTGATTTCACAATTATTCTTCTTCGTTTTCTCTAAATTAATTAATTTAATTAATTTAATTAATTTATTATAAGCATGCATTATTATATCCCCCAATCCCTAAGTCCCAAGTCCCAATCCAATCTTGGATTGGGTCTTTCACTTTGGGATGGATAGATTTCCTCATTACTCTGAATCAATTTATTATTTAGCGTATGCTGTTCTTTCTTGTCTAGGATTTGTTTACAAATACCAAGCTTTAATTTAATTGCATTAGCGTTTAGTTCCGTAATAATATTCTCGATTCATTTCATTCTCGTTCTTGTTTATGCAGACTGCAGGCTCTTCTTTTCGCCAACTTCCGCTTAATATTTTATAGCTAAACACAATGTTTGGTTCTACTAGCCGTAAGTCGTCTTTTTTATTCTCTTTTTTGTCTTCTTTTGTTTTTCTTACACGAAAAACAAAACTTGTTTGTTTTTGTTGGCTGACTAATGACTAATACGAAAATTGTTTAATGTCCTTGTTGTTGTTGTTGTTCTTGAACAGCTTTTGGGCAGTCATCAAATAGCCCATTTGGGTCTCCATCAGTTTTTGGGCAGACTAGCAATGCAAACCACAACCCTTTTGCTCCAAAGCCCTATGGTAGCAGCACCACTCCAACCCCTTTTGGTGCTTCACAAACGGGGACTTCCATATTTGGCGGCACTTCCACGGGTGTTTTTGGTGCCCCTGCCGCCGCTCAATCTTCGTCTCCATTTTCTTCTGCACCCGCTTTTGGAGCTTCGTCCGCACCCGCTTTTGGAGCTTCCTCCGCACCCGCTTTTGGAAGCTCATCGTCTTCATTTGGTGGTAAGCAATTCCCTAATTTCCCATTTTAAGCTGCACTGCACTACTCAAATAATACTTTCATCATGTGCTTTACAGAACAATAACGTCTCATAGCATTTGATACATAGTCATTCCTTTAATTATCCATTGTCGTTCTTATCCGTTTGTGCATATTATGTCTTTTTAATGTGAAGTATTATAATGCTAAACATAATCTTTGTTCTTAAAGCATTTGACAGTGTTTTGGCCGAGTTTTGGAAGAATTTATGTACTATTTAGGTAGAAAAGGCACGTTTTTTTTTTTATAAAAAAAAAAAAAAAATTGTCATACAAAAAAAAATTCTTTCCTAGAAAGTGAATTCTTCACGTTGCTGACTGAGATGTTTATTTATTATCTTTTTAACTTGTTCATGTTCTGTCACTGATGAAATTGTCTTAACAGGATCTTCTGTATTTGGTCAAAAGCCTGTTTTTGGAGCCTTTGGGTCAACGCCATCTCAAACAAGTCCTTTTGGAAGCACAGCTCAACCATCACAGCCTGCATTTGGGAGCAGTTTATTTGGTTCCTCCACACCTTTTGGTGCATCAAGCCAGCCTGCATTTGGAGCTACAAGCACACCAGCCTTCAGTGCTACGAGCGCGCCTGCTTTCGGTGCTACGAGCGCGCCTGCTTTCGGTGCTACGAGCGGGCCTGCTTTCGGTGCTACGAGCGCTCCTGCTTTCGGTGCTACGAGCGCTCCTGCGCCTGCTTTCGGTGCTACGAGCGCCCCTGCTTTCAATGCTACGAGCGCGCATGCTTTCGGTGCTACGAGCGCCCCAGCCTTTGGTTCAACATCAAGTCCGGCATTTGGTAACACTGGAAGTGCATATGGTGTTTCAAGTACACCTTTGTTTGGATCTGGGGGAGCTTTTGGTGCCTCAAGTGGTCCAGCGTTTGGTGCCTCGAGTACTCCATCCTTCAGCTTTACGTCCTCGCCTGCTTTTGGCCAATCAACTTCTGCCTTTGGCAGCAGCCCTTTTGGCACTTCTACTTCTCCTTTTGGAGCTCAGAGTTCTGGGTTTGGTGAGTCTTTTTTCGATTTCCATAACTGGTTACATTAATTTTGTGGCCTGATTCTTAGATTCACTAATTTTAAAGGCGATAATAAGTTTTATAATAATTTTTGTCTGTGTATGAATATTGTGTGCATGAATTGTTGTTGCATTCTCTTACAAGTGTGACGCGATGCAGGAGCCCAGTCAACAACTCCATTTGGGAACACTGGCTTTGGCCAGTCAGCCTTTGGGGGTCAACGTGGGGGGAGTAGAGTTGCTCCATACTCACCAACACCCGAACCAGATAATAGCAGTAGTGGTACAGGTGCAGCAGCTGGAAAGTTAGAGTCAATATCAGCTATGCCTGTTTACAAAGATAAAAGCCATGAAGAACTGAGATGGGAGGACTATCAGTTGGGAGATAAAGGTATGTTTTTGGTAAATTTTCCAAATACTAAAAGTTTGTTGCTCTTGTTACCAGAAGTGACAACGTTGACTGAATTTTGCATTGATTCATAATTTCAGGTGGATCAACACCCACTGCTCAATCCACAGGGATTTTTAGTTCATCTACTTCACAGCCAAGTGTTTTGGGTCCTTCACCTTCATTTACTCAATCATCCTCAAGTCTATTTTCTAACACCACTTCTTCTAATCTATTTGCTCCAAAACCTCCAGTCTTTAGTAGTACAGGTTTTGGGCCGATGCTGGGCTCATCACCCAGCCTTTTCACCTCTACTGCATCAACCCCTTCACTGTTTGGAACAACTTCATCTCCATTTACATCCAATTCATCTCCATCACCATTTGCATCAAGCTCACCTGGGTTTGGACCGCCGTCAGCATTTACTTCTAATGTTCCAACATCAGCCCCGACATTCAGTACCAGTCTGTTCAACTCCACTGCATCTCCAATTGCTCAGACAAGTAGTGGTTTTGGACAATCTACCTCTGCCTTTGGGCCAAGTACAACTTCTTCCTTTACTCAATCAATCTTATTTAGTACTCCATCCTCGGGTTTTGCAAATACCTTTTCAAGCACTCCATCACTTACTCCCCCAACAAACCCTTTCGCTCAAACAGCTGTAAGTACTTAAACTTTATTTTTGAAGGTTTCTTTATTATCGATTCTTTTGTTGATACAGTTTGTCAATATTTCAACTTTGTTTATTTGATGCTTTTAACTTATATCTTCAATGCTAACTGCGCGGTGCCCATTTATATATCGTAATAAAATATTGATACATAGGGCTTGTTGACAGCGTAGGGTTCTCTATAGTGCTATCGAACTTTATAGTAGTATTATGAACCTTGTCACATGTGCTTGCTTGGTTGGAATCTTGAATAATACTTTTGGTGATGATAATTTTGAATTTAAGTGAAGGTTTCCTGTAGTCCTATTTTCTCAGTTCATTTCCACATTTTAATTTATTTTTTGTTTAAATAAGGCTTGACTTTTTTAAGTTTTCTTTTAATTTTTATCCTTTTCCTCCACTTGTTCTGTTTTTTTTTTTGTTTGTACTTGCAGCCATCTTTTCCTTCACCATTTTCAGCAGTTCAGCCTGCTCAGACAACTAGCTCTCTCGGGTTTAGTGCTTTTCCCCAGCCTCAACCAGGTGAGTTAAGTGTACTATATTTTTGTTTGATTGTACATTCTTAACGTTTTGATTTTGCTGACTTGTATATTTTTCTTCCTTTGGTAGCCAATACGACTGGTGGTGCAATGGGCTTGTTTGGGAATTTGTACGTATACATTACTTTTATTTATGGTCTTGTTGTCCAGTAAATTACCTTTTTGTTGGCATTTTTAGCAACCAAGTTTTGTTTCTGGCTCTTTCGGCCCTTGGTTCTTCAAAGAAACAGAAAAAGTTAGAATGACATAAATTACAGACACTAGATATAGTTCTTGGAACACTTTTACCTGTCTCCATTTGAAAGTTTATGTGGATTACTTATGGAATTGTTATCGCCATTGGTTAGGGTAGCAATTACTAATTATCTTAATATCAACCTCAACTTTAAGCGGAAACACACTCCAACAATATTGATTCTATTATTTATGTAGCTCTTTCTAGTTTGGTACCTTCGGTTTGAACATATATGCTTCTGTAGTTGATTGAGTGTTTGGTGTTTCCTGCTATTATTAACAAGTGTTTATCAAATTTCTGGGTATGGTAATTAGAAACAAATGATGTGTAGTTATTCAGAGTTTTAATTGGTCTCCATGCAATTGTATTCTGCAGGCCTGCCACTCAAAGTCCTGCTGTTGTGCAGCCAGTACCTGCTTCAAATCCCTTTGGAACACTCCCGGCAATGCCTCAAATGTCAATTGGTCGTGGAGGAACTGCACCGTCTGTTCAGTATGGAATATCTAGCATGCCAGTAAGCGCAAATCAATTCTCCACTCATTTATATCTTGAAATCCAAGCTTATTAGTTTAGTCTGTTAGATCGTCATTTGGTTATTATTTTCCATTTGATGTTCCGATTCTAAAATCCTTTTATGATGAGGGGAGAGATGGATTGATTGTTGTGGATGTTGTTTTCCTTCTTTAGGTGCTAGACAAAGCTGCTCCTGTTAGAATATCGCCGCTGTTGACTTCTCGACACTTGTCACAAAGGCGAATCAGGTTGCCTGCTAGGAAATATGATCCAAAGAGTGATGGTGCGAAGGTGTGGATATTTCTTGTCTAACCATATCTGTTTATTTAGTTATTATTTGGTTGAACCTTCATCAATTTGGAGTTACATGTGGATGTTTGTTTTTATTATTATTATTATTATTATTATTATTATTATTATATTATTTGGTTGAACCTTCATCAATTTGGAGTTACATGTGGATGTTTGTTTTATTATTAATATTAATATTATTATTATTTTTCCTTTAGGTTCCTTTTTTTAGTGATGACGAGGAAACGGCCAGCACACCAAAAGCAGACGCTTTATTCCTTCCTAGGGAAAACCCTAGATCACTTGTCATCCGTCCCGCAGAGCAGTGGCCTTTGAAGTTTAGTGCTGATAAAGCATTCCAATTCAAGGATACTTCCCCAATACATGAGAATGGTAATGGTATATTATCTTACTTTGCCCTTGATTCATATTTGCAAGTACAATATGGAATAAAATGTATGTGCTAGTGATAGAATAAAGTGTGCGCCTGGTATCTAGTTATTTTAGTATCTTGTAAGCTGGTTTCTGTTCATAACTTGAATAGTTAAGTAGGAAGAGCTCGTAGAGACATGAAAATGCTTTCTAGTTCGTTATGTATGAGGATTTAGAACTCGGAAAAATTTATCAAATATGAATGTAAAAGGTGTTCTTTTGGATTTCACATTTTCCTTCACTGCTGAGCATATTTAGGCTTCATTACGTATATCCTTAAATATATTGTTTAGGAAAATCATCTGAAGATGTGCATCCTGCCGCTCCTGTGTTTGGTGGTGGTGGTTTCAACTCTGAAGACAAAGATAGTACGTATATGTTTCCCTCGGCTTCTTTTTGAAAATGGAACAAAAGTTTTATGAGTTTCATGGGGATTACTACTTTCTTGCAATTAGCTGCTGCCATTAAATTTCTTTGTTTGTCTAAATAATGATGCCTTTTTTGTTTTACTTGTTAATATTAAAATTGCATGGATTGTTGTAAACTACATTTCTGGCCGTGTTGGCATCATCTTAAAAGTTCAGGTACAACTAGCTGTTGGATAACCTTTTGGCCACCAGTCCGAATTCCTCGAAAACACGCTAGTTTTGGAGGCTAATGGACGATTGATTAGTGGTCGCTGGTTCCTTCTTTTGTTTTGTTCTTGTCTTTTGTGTGCTCTCTCTCTTTTTGTTTTGTTTTGTTTTTTTGTTTTTTTTGTTTTTTTAATGTTGTTCTCTTTTGTTAATCTTCTGAAGTGCTTAGCTAATATCTAATTGAATTCTGTTTATTGTTGCAGAAGATTCACGTGAAGATGGTCTTGTTCAGGAGAAAGTCAATCTTGTCAAAGTGAACCAGAAATCTAATGAAGTACATGATGACCATACTATTCAGAAGGGGGATTCTTATATGACCCTAAGTGGGCACAGAGCTGGCGAGGCTGCTATTGTGTATGAGCATGGCGCAGACATTGAGGCTCTAATGCCGAAGCTCCGGCGCTCTGACTACTACACAGAGCCACGGATCCAAGAACTGGCTGCCAAGGAAAGAGCAGAACCAGGGTTCTGCCGCCACGTCAAGAATTTTGTGGTTGGACGGCATGGTTATGGTAGCATCAAATTCTTTGGTGAGACAGATGTGAGGCGGCTTGATCTTGAGTCCCTTGTTCAGTTCAACAATCGCGAGGTGATTGTGTACATGGATGACAGTAAGAAACCTCCTGTGGGGCAAGGCCTTAATAAGCCTGCTGAGGTAACATTGCTTAACATCAAATGCTTCGACAAAAAGACGGGTCGTCAGTATACAGAAGGGCCGAAAATTGAGAAATACAAGGATATGCTTAAGAGGAAGGCAGAGGACCAAGGGGCCGAGTTTGTATCCTATGATCCCGTCAAAGGAGAGTGGAAGTTTCGGGTCAATCACTTCAGCGAGTACAAGCTGAGAGAGGAAGATGAAGATGGTTTCGACGTGCATGATGACACAGCTTAGCTTTCTGATGGGAAACTTGTTCCAAAGATGGATTAGATGGATGAGGTGGGAAATGTCAGTTGTGTGTGATTTTGTGCTTTTGTTTGATATTATAGGGCGAGGATGTCTTGGATAAGGCTTTAGATCATTTTCGTTTGTAAAGAATTTAGGGAGATTTGGCGATACCTGCTTCAGCCATGGCACTGTATATCTCAAGCATTATTTTCTTTTTTTTGGGTTTAAGAATTTTGGTTATGTTTCCATTTTGCTTTCTTTTTTTTTTTTTTTTGTGTGAATTTCAGAGTGGTGGGACGAATTTAGTACTGAAACTGCGGTCTCTAACTGTCTTTTTATTTTTTATTATTTTTGGGGAAAAGAGGCTCATTGATGTTGAATTTTACATGGCTTTTGCTAGAAATAGAATATATGCATTTGGATTTTGTTCTGGGAATTAGGTTATCTACAAATTACAAATAATATACAGTAGAGAAAACCTGTTGACATAACAACGTATCTTTTCTTTTCTTTTTGAAATAATTACATAAAATGCCTACTCTCAAACAATCGAATCTAAACAAATTCATTAATATACAATATTACAAAAATGTTTGTTTTTGAATAGTAATGCTCGTCTAGTGCGGATATATTCCTATTTGTTATTTTAGATCTGTTCTTTATATTGTGATTTTTTCATTATGTTGGTTGGTTATTTTTTTGATAATATATTCTATTTTGACTTACCATTTTAACCCCAATTATTATTCTGTAATAACTTTCAATTTAATATTGATATTATCTTCAAATTATATTCTCTCATTTTTTTGAGAAAATTGTAGAAGTTATCTTTAAGAGTGCATGAGTTTAGATTTTTACCCATTATTCTTAATAAATACTCTTTTGTTAGTGTAATTATTTGACTAAAAAGGTTATAAATTAAGAATAAATGGTAAAAATCATGACCCATACACTTTAAATGAGTATTTATCAAGATTACTCCCTTTTTTTTTCTTTGAATTTAGGCTTGGGTAATGATATCGTTGTTAAGATAATGAAAATGCAAGGGGGTTTTTATTTGTTAATTTGTTCATTATTTATATCTTTATCATTATTTTCTTATTTCTTAACATAATGAAAATAGACAAATTGCAAATTCATGTTTCGTGCCGTTTAATTGTTTCAGATTGTTTGTAAACTTTATATTCATTCTTTTTTATAATGATACCATCATTATGATAATAAAAATGTGAGATTTTTTATTTGTTGTTTTGTTTGCTTGTCCGTAGCTTGTTTTATATCTTTATCATAATTTTCACATTCATTAACATAATGAAAATAAATAGGTTGCGGACTCTTGCTTTGGTGCATTTTAATTGTTTCGGGTTGTTTGTAAACTTTGTATTCATTCTTTTTCATAATGATGTCATCGTTAAGATAATGAAAATGCGAGAAGTTTATTATTTGTTGTTTTGTTTGCTTGTCTATAAATTGATTTTGTACAGAATTGTTTGGATTTTATTTAAAAAAAAAAAAAAATTGATAGGTGATTTTTTATTTATTTAAAAAATGTTTCCTCTTCCTGAAATAATTAGTTTTCATTAAATTTAATTGTTTGACCTTTTGTATTTAAATTTGAATATTCATTATCTTATCTTCCGTATTTTTTTCATTCACTAGTTTTTTTTCTTTTTTTTATTGTGTGAGGATATGAACGTGTTTATATGGATGATAATAGGTATTTTTATAAATAAAATAATAAGTAGGCATTGGACATTTATGTAAAAAATCATTAATTTTAAATACTTTGTCTAATAAATAGAGTCTAACTTATCTTATTGACTACAAGATCACGGCTTCTAAAAAAATAAATAAATAAATTATGGAACTAACTTTTAAAGTGCATAAGTCTTGATTTTTACTTCGTATTCTTTATTAATACATTTTCACTAAAAAAGATATTAATCAAAAGTAAGGGATAAAAATATAAACTCAAGCATTTTAAAGGGGCATTTGTTTCCTTATAAAAAGATCAACCTAAATCAATTTAACACAAGGTGGGAGTAAGTGGGAAAAAAAAATCCTATCACTATTAAACCTGTAGATTACAATATCAACAACATACGAAAATTATTGATCTTATTTTTTAGAGTGTCTGGGTTTTGATTTGTAAACCTTACTCTTAATTAATACATTTTTAACTAATATAGTTTTCTGGCAAAAACGATATTAATTAAGAGTAATAGTTAAAGTTTTAGACTTATATACTCTAACGAGGTTTTTTATTTTCTTTCCCCTTGTAGCATTAATTGTTATAAAATAGATCTAAGAGAAAAATTGTTTATAGAAATAACTATATAAAGAATATATTACTACACGATAGTGAATATTTGACATTTTTAGACATACAGAAAAGGGTAAGATCTTGAACTCTAAATACAAAAGAGAGAAAAGAAAACTAAGTTTTTAGAACTTCTTTCTTTTAATTGAAAAAACCCTGGCCATCTTTTGACAGAGAGGAACGAGAGAGAAAGAAAAGAAGCTTGAGTGTTGGCCGGAGTATCGGCACTGCCTTCGGGCCCGTCGTTAGACTCCCGGCAATGAAAATCGGTCCGCTAGCTCTTCTTGTCGAGAGCTCTTCAATAGTAGTAGCAGTGTGTCGTGGGGTGGCTTGGTTAGGGTGAATTGGGCTCCGTTTGGAAGTTGGAAACCGAAATTTTAGGAGGCATTTTCCAACACTGTCAACGTTGAGTGGTTGGGTCCTTGCCAAGGTTTGATTCTAGTGGTGGGGGGCTTCCTTTAGTAGGGGTGGTGTCGTTGTCTCTGGAGGTTAGCGGCGATGGCGAAGGTGAATCATTCGCTGTCGTTTAATGGTCTCTTCCCGACAGCTTCGCGGCTTAACTTTTGAAGCCTTCTTCCTTCCCTCATGGTCCTCTTGCCGGCTGCGTCGTCGTTAGAGGCTTGTGCCAACGATGTATTGACCCTTTTTTTATCTTTCTTACATTCTCTGCCCTTTTCCGACCATCCCGAGAGAAATATCTCACCCACGCCATCGCCGTTGCTTTTGAGGAGGATGAGGAGAAGGCGACACCGCCATTGGAAGCTCCTCCAACTACTCTCCCCAACAAGTACGACATCTTTTCTCTTCCCACTCTCTCCCACTTCCAACTTCCAAAGGCCCTCGAAGCTCCCTTTGCCTGCTATATCACCAGGCCAACTTCCTTTCCCACGAAACTAGAAACTGAGCCCAAAACAAAAGACCCAATATACCTCATTCTCAACTTGACCCAAATGATATTCTTTCCTTCCTCATCATTGGGCTTCTTTAAGCCCATTTTCGTTCTCCTATATATATCACTATTCACTATTCTTTTTTGAAAAAATCCACTTCCTAAAAAAAAAAAAAAAAAAAAAAGACAACTAAGAGAAAATTCAATTTGATTTTAAACATATGGTGGTAAAGTATAGAAAGTGGTTGTAGCAGAAGTTATGAAAAAAAAAAAAAAAAAGCAAATTGGCCAAGGTTGGGATTGTCAGGCTTTTAGCAAAATAAATATATAAAAAAAAATCCTTCTCCCACATCGATTTGGAAACAAAAAAAAAAGAGGGGCCACGACGTTCAGAGGAGTCTATAAAAGGCCACCTCAAAGTCCACAGAAACCACAAAAGATGACCCAAATTTGGACAGAAGCTTCACTCAGGTAACTTCGATTCTCACAAATGTTGAGATCAGAGGAGAGTCAATTTTCGTTTGGTTTCGTTTGTATAGATTGATTCTCACAAAGATTGGTTTCGTCGTTTGTATAGAGTCAAGAACAAAAAAAAGTTAGTTCAATTTAGTAAGTATGTGCTTTTTTTTTGTTTTTTTGTTTTTTTGAATGAGTAAGTAGGTGCATTTGCATCATGAGTAAATCAGTTAGAAACAAACTCGAAGATTTAAGAGATTGAATGATATGAATGATAGGACAACATCGAGTAGGCAATATCATTAAACAAAAACAAAATCTTAGTATTTTCAGACAAAGTCATGTGGTAAAGCTAGCACAATTTTGAAACGTTAACATTATATCATAAAGTTTAATTTTGAAAAATATTGAGATAGTATCCTCATATAATTGAATGATCTATGATTTGATACTTAAAGTCGACGGTATACATAAATGGAAAGTCTAGAACTTAATTAATAGTTAATATAAGATGCAAATTCTACAACTTTATAAAACTAAATAATAATAATAATAATAATAATAATAATAATAATAATAATAATAAATATTAAAAGAAAACAAAAAACTCCTAATATAAATCGACTGTGGGAACAACCCATATTGGAGGCTGCCTTAACATTTTCTTTAGAGCAAATGAATCTATATTAAAATGAAATTTGATACGTTTGCTCTCAAGTTGGAATATGCCTATATCATTGATAGAAGAAACCATTCCCGCAACAGTATAATCTTCATCATGAGTGAAATATATGGAATTTGGTTGGAAGCTAAGACGGCTATCGAAGAATTATCACCCAAGAACAAAGAAACGTCACCAAGACTTTCTACCCGAATCCACTTTGCCTCATCATGAACTACTTCCAACTTAAAAATATCGAACGTCTTGGTAAAACGAGTAAGAATATCATTGTGGTTGTGCCAGTCAAAATACCTAAAAACCTGTAAAATTTCTCCTCCATATGATTTTACAATATAGTTTCTGGAATCGTAGGCCCTCCCCTTAATACGTCTACAAAGGAGTTGGGGTGCAACAAACTTAGGAATCAGATTTCCCGAGTTTGTAACATCAAAAAGATATAAGTACACCATAAGAATTTAAGGCGTAAACTTTATTCTTATTCTTACAATACAAAATGTCGTCAAATGGACGATATTCATCACCGATTTTAGTCTATGTACTTGTTTTGTCATTGGCATTGTATCTAATAAAAGCTAATTCACAATATTCGCCAAATAGCGCTACAATTATTGTGAATTTATTTGAATGATCATTTTCTAACGGGTCAGTTGTGATTATAGCTTTAATCACATGATGATCCCAAAGAGAGTACGAAAAACACTTTTCATCATCAGGATCGCGAGGGAATATCCTTGGAAGTTTAAGGGCATGATTTGCCATGTACAACTATTCTCATGCTTAGCCATATATAGGTTTGTGAAGTGTCACTGAATAATCCCTATTAACGGTAACCAACCATCCTTGTGAAGAACCACTGAAACGCTTAATGTGTGGTATTAATACTCATGTCCAAGAATTTTTTTTGCAAAACATCATACACATTCAATGTATTTTCTTCTTGGCCAGGGACTAAAAGAATTGGTACCTGATGTTGGCGCGATGTATTTGTAATATGTTTAATTTGATTCAACTTCATCACAGAATACCATGAAGCACAAACAACGCCAAATTGAAAATAATCTTTGGACGATTCTAATTTCTCCAAGATCAAGTCCAATAAATGATTTGGAAGAATTACCCAATCTACAAAAACAGAAACAAAAGAAATTTTCTTTTAAATAAAAAACTAAATTATAAAGATGAATTATAAATAATTGGAGCATACGTGCAAGATTTACTCTTACTATTACGCACTTTTACATGTCGGTGGACCTATCAACTCTGATATTAAATTTTATATCACAAATATTTTACATTTTACTACTTTGTGCCTTCGTGATCAGTTTAACCTTTATTTTTCAGAAAGTAATAATACTTATATATATATATATATAAAGAATTAATGAAAAGAATTAATGACATCATCTTGTGACAAAGCGATCTTATATTTGTCACTTCGGCACCTACTGATTACATAGTAGATACGGAACTTCACTTTAAAAGAGGAATTTTCTTGCATATATTTGCATTATCGTGCACTTTCATTTAACTTTGAAATTAATCAAAATGTTTTCAAAAAAGACAGATTTGTCTTTCTATAATTTAAATGTTACCCCATAGTTTGATTTATGACTAGAATGTATAAATGGATGAATCTATAAAATATATCTTCAAGTTAATTAGGTATTAATTCTAATTCAATTGTTGCCTCGTCCTATCAATAAAGAATTATAATACGATACGTGACAACTCGAATAAGACGACAAAAAATAATAATAATAAGATAAAAAAACTTTTTTTTTTTGTTTGTAAAATCTGATTAGAAAACCACAGAATATCATGAATAGATCAGTGAGATAGTAAGATATAAAAAATAAACTCGATAGTAGAGAAAAAATAAAATAAAAGAAAAAAATAACTTTTTGCATCAAATTTATTAGTGTTTCTCCCAACGTATTAATTAGCGTTCTCAATAAGAAAGAGATTTCAAGGAATACGTACCTCTCATTGTTATTCCAATAAAAAAAACTTCAAAAACGCTTCATGAGAAGCTTAATTAGTTGAGGAGCTTAATTAGATCCTTTATATATATATATATATATATAGATAGAGAGAGAGAGAGAGAGAGAGAGAGAGAGAGTGAGAGAGTTTTTTGAATTCAGAGTTCAAGTTGAAATACAACTCGGATTTCCTTTCCAAGTCTCCGACTCTACAAAGAGAAGCGTGTTGTTATATATGATCTTTCCTTTCTTTTTCTTAGAATGGATTATATATGATCTTTTTATCATAATTCAAAATTACAAAGCCTGTAATTTGAATTCAGATTCCTGTAAAATCCTTATCTTGAAATTTCAGGTTTCTGCCATGTACAAATTGTGTGGATACGTGTGTTTTTAAATTGCAATACTAAGCTAATATTTCTATTTATAGTTAATAAGAGGGTGTTTTAATGGATTTTAATGTAATTCTAATGCAGCATAAACTTGTAATAAACAAATATTATAATTTGACGGGGGCATTAATAAATTTCATGAGTGCAAATTACTCTTTGTTTTATTTATATTATCTTTTCAAAATTTAAAGTCGCAAAAATATAAATGTAGTACAGAAGTTGATTTTTGATTTAGTCATGGTTTTAAGTTTAAAAGACGAGTATTGGATGAAGAATTTTGTTGAATAGTAACAAAAAAGAAAAATGCATTAGAGTTTAATCGATGACGTATGCGATTGTTTTATCAACTCTAAGAATAGCTGATAAAAAAAAACCTCTAATACAACAAAAATAAAGGTTTTAAACAAATGCAACATGCAATAGTATATAATAGTATTTTGTTTGTTTTTGCAAACTCAATCTAGCCGTCAAAAGAATTATCAAGCGTACAGCATTTAAAAAAAAAAAAAAAAAAGCTAAAAAGCTTATTAACAGAAGGGTGGTTTTATTTACACCTCCTTTTCACTCTCCACACCCCTTCAAATTAAAAATTAAGTATTAAAAAAATTCTTAAATAAAATGAAAAAAAAACAATAGACTTAATTATATAATTAAATTTTATTACAAAAGGAAAACTAATAGAGAGTTTTGTTTTTCTCTCTCTACTCAATGTACATATCAAATTCTCACATTATAAACTAAACTGAGGACGTTTGGTTGGAAGATTCAAACCATTTCGATTTACGTGTATTTTTTGTGAGAAAAAATACTGTAGCGAACCACGAATCATGATTCGAATCAGGGAACGAATCCCTCTACCAAACATTATTTTAAAAATCCATATAGCAAATAATTTTCACTTTTGAATGACAATTCCAAAAAAAAAATTACATGGAGGTAGTCTAATTTTCTTTATTATTTGTTATATGAAGATTTTTTTTACTTTTTATTTTTTGTTTTGTGTTCATATTTGTTTGCTAATCATTTTTTAAGCAAATCGTTTCACTTTTTTTTTTTGTAATGCAAGACTGGTCCCAGTCGCCCTCTCTTTTTTTAATGCCTTTGTGCTTATAAGATAGTATCTTACTGTACTTTTATTTGTTATCGATTCCAATCAATATTCAATATATATATATAATGCAACGTAGTTTACGTTTTTTTATTTTTTATTTTTCATTTTTTTTGTTTCCCTATTGAGCTTAAAAAAGAAAAAATCACTTCATGCCTAAAGTTCAACAACAAAAAAAAGATATAAATAAAAGATAATATTAAAGAAATAAATTAATTTATGTGGGTGTGTGGTTAGAAGAGGTGTAGAGAGCAAAGAGGTGGGTGTGGAGTGTAAATAGAACTATTTTTAATAATTTTATGAAAATAGTTTGAGGTTTTTTTTTGAATAAAAGTTAGAGATAATTTTAGAATAATAAGGATGTGTAGAAAGAAAACTTAAATCATTTAAAAATTACGTGGGATGTGTAATTAAAACTTAAAAGGGGAGTATGAAGAGTAAAACGTGGGGTGTGAATCGAACCATCCTTAATAAAAATGTTTTAGAATAACATAAAACACAACATGATGTATAGTTTTCCATGAAGCAAATCTTTATTAAATGAGGTATTATAAAAATAATATCTATAAAAAGATAGGTTTTTCAAATGTTCATTCAGACCTAAGAAATAACATAAATCTTTATTAAATGTTCATTAATATCTATAATGAGGTATTTAATATCTATAATATTTATTAAATATTCATTAACGTGTTACTTTGTAGATGGCAAAATGTTTCTCTACAATCCCTTGATGTTATCTTGTCATGCAAACCTAAGAAATCAGCCATTTTTTTGGGATTTTTTTAATTCATTTTCTGCCCATGAAATGTCTTATTCACCACAATTATATTACCTTAATTACATCATTGTCATCTAAACAGTGTCCCAGCCACCGGTGATAGTCGATATCTATTTGCTGTCAATTAGCTATCCAACAAATTCTCCCTTGCAAGTGGGCACGGTAACGGCTATTCCTCACCCCTCATGCCGCCACGTGTGGAAGAACCGGTCCGGAAGAACCGTAGCCTATGCCTATAAATTTTTATTTTTATTTTTATTTGTGCCCCCACTGAAATTAAATTATGATTTTTGTAAGGATAATTATGACAAATACTTTTGAAAATGCATAGATCAAGATTTTTATCCTTTACTCTTGATTCATAATTTTTTTAGTCAAATAATTACACTAATAAAAAAGTATTTATTAAGAATAAAGAATAAAGGTCCCAAACTCATACCGTCTCAAATGTAAATTATGTATGTTTTCTTTTTATAAAGTTGTGGCCTTGTGGGAGTAAATTTGGACTGCCAAATTAGAACTTAGGCCGTAAGTAGGATTTTCTAGGATGTTTTTCGAGCAACTTTAAAGGAAATGCAGTGGTTTATCGTAATAAAGATAATTGAATTATTTAATTTAAATAAACTATTTATCTTGTAAAATTTTTTTTTGCTACTTATATTATTTATCTTATAATTATTTACTTTAGCTTATTTCTAGTATCTAGAAATTAGGTTGGTAGTTATCTTTTATTTTAAAGTTAATTACTTTAATAATTTATTTTAGTTGGATTACTTTATATTAGTTTGACTCTTTGAGCTACATTGTAATTTACTTTATCTCATCAATGAAAAACTTCTATCATCATTCTTAATTCAAATAATTCAAATATATATTAACCATTCTTGAACCATGGATATATTAAGATAAATACATTTATTTGAACCATAAATAATTCAAACTTGTATTTATCTTGTAAACGAGAATGGGCCTGTTTACTTTATTAATTCAAATAAATGTATTTATGTTAATGTTTATCATCGCTTTTAGGGTTGTCGTTTCCAGAGTTACTTTTGTTTGGTGTAATTAATATTTATAATATTTATATAATATATAATGTAATAAAAAAAATTACAGAATTTATTCTTAAAATGCATGAATTAAAATTTATACATTTTATTCTTAATTAATACTTTTGAAGATGTATTTGTCTCATTTTTTCTCTAAAGGATGCCGAATTTCCAACACGAGTCGATTTTAATAGTAATGTTGGGTTCAGCAGGAAGGGTCATTCGATTTTAAAATTAGAAGGAAGTATATGTTGAGTATTCTCGTCGCCCAACAACACGGCCATCCTCTTTGTTTATCTCCATTCCATGTTGGTGCAATTGCATGTCTTGATGAATAGAACCTTTAATTAAAAAGGACAAAACTTAAATATCATAACATCCGAATTATTATTATTATTCTCAGTGATGATCCCATTTCATCCCAACAACAGTAGATGACAATTATCATTATAGCAAGCAAACAAACTCAATCTAACAAGAGTGTATCAGTATGAGAAACTCGAGAGAAATCCAAATCTCTCATCTGGTTTGCTTCTTTCCTTTTTGGGAAGGCTTCTTGGTCTGCAACTTCAGTTTATTATTTGATGGCTCAGCCTCGGCCTTATCTTTATTATTTGATGGCTCAGCTTCGGTCTTGGTAGACAACAAGAACTTCTTGGTGGAACCGACATGATTGCACAACAGCTTCACCATCTTTCTTCCTCTCATCCATTTCAGCATCAACTTCATGTGTGTTTTGCTATTCAATCCGCTCACGCCAGAATCCTGTTTATGTGTATTCATAAATGTAAATACTTACAATCAGAAATAGGAAGACCAAAAAATTAAAAAAAAAACAACTACACTGATTTCATTTTCATGTGAAGAAGTACATAGGGGTGAATCGCCAATGCAACAAAGGCAAGGCAAGGCGTGAATCGAGATACTAAAATGTGATTATGTTACGGAAACTGGTTTTGGTGCAAACTAAAAAGCGCAGCACAGCATAGCATACTTGGTGATAACAACAACCGATTGAGAAAGAAGCCTCACCGTAAATTGTGAATACTACAGGCTTGTTCTTTTGAGGGAAAAATTCAAAAATAAATAACTCGAGTTACAATTTTATTTGAGTTCATGTTCTTTTAAGTTTAAACTCGAATTTAAACTCGAGTTCAGACTCGAGTTTAGGATTAAAACTCGAGTTCAAGTTTTCCCTTCAACTCGAGTTCAGAAACTCGAACTCAAATTAATCAACAATATTCTTTCTATTCTTAAAAATGCTATAACTTTTTCGTTTTAATTCTAATTGAGATGATTTTTTTTCTATGCGTTGACAACGAAAAGACGAATAAAACCCAACCCATATACCCTATTAAAATTTTTCATCAGCATTGAATTTTTATTAAAATACTATATAAATACAAATTCAAGTTTTGACTCACTCAAACACAAACTCAAAAAGATTCTTATCTCAAATCATAACTCAAATATATACAACTAAACACAAACTCAAGTTACAAGTTCAACTCAAGTTATAACTCAAATTCAACTCAAAAATTATACTCAAGTTAAACTCTAAAAGAACAAACCCTACATTTTTACAGCATGTTATGGATGGAAAAAAGAGTGTTTCCTTTGCTGCTTGATTTCATTGATGCGTTTTCTTACTAAAATAAAAATTAGGAATAACAATTGTGTTATTTGTATACTATTTCCTTAATGCCTAATGGCAGGGAAAGTAAACTTTCCTCTTCTTCTTTCCTTATCAAACCATTTTCCTTTCCAATTATTATTATCAAAGTCTTGAGATAATAATGATATTGGCGGGTAGACCAAGTCTAGAGGTTGAGTTTGGTTGGTGTGTTAACTTAATTGGTTTTATTATTATAAGCATATGTATGCACTCAGCAATTCCATCTAAATAAATAAATAAATATATAAAATAAACAAAAGCAAGCTTCATTGAAAGAAAGAATGAATGAGAAAGAAAGTCGTCAGGTTAACATTCATACATATATCGAATCGAATAAAGATTTGTGTGCTCCGTAATAAACTAAAGAGCATTGTATTGTATTGTACATTACCAAGAAAGGAATTCAGAATTCAGAATTTATAATTCATGATTAAAAAAAAAAGATAAAAAATGTTTGATTGATAGATCAACTATGTTGTAGCATAACTAATAAATATAAGATAATAAAATCAAAGAGCAAAAGAAGTAAATACATAAAAAAAAAGGGACAGAGGAGCTGGGACCTTAGCGAGAAGCCAAGCATTGGAGATGGTGAGAGGGCCGTGTTGCTTGACGACGTCGTACAGACCTCGAGCAATTGATGAAGCCTCTTGTGGGCTCACCCTTGGATTTATCTTCCTTACATTCTCTGCCCTTTTCCGACCATCCCGAGAGAAATATCTCACCCACGCCATCGCCGTTGCTTTTGAGAAGGAAGAGGAGGAGGCGACGCCGCCATTGGAAGCTCCTCCAACTACTCTCCCCAACAAGTACGACATCTTTTCTCTTCCCACTCTCTCCCACTTCCAACTTCCAAAGGCCCTCGAAGCTCCCTTTGCCTGCTATATTATCACCAGCCCAACTTCCTTTCCCACGAAACTAGAAACTGAGCCCAAAACAAAAGACCCAACATACCTCATTATCAACTCGACCCAAATGATATTCTTTCCTTCCTCATCATTGGGCTTCTTTAAGCCCATTTTCATTCTCCTATATATATATATCACTATTCACTATTCTTTTTTGAAAAAATCCACTTCCTAAAAAAAAAAAAAAAGGACAACTAAGAGAAAAATTGTTTATAGAAAATAGAAAAATTGTTAGAAAATAGATCTAAGAGAAAAATTGTTTATAGAAATAACTATATAAAGAATATATTACTACACGATAGTAAATATTTGACATTTTTAGACGTACAAAATAGAAAAGGGTAAAATTTTGAACTCTAAATACAAAAGAGAAAAGAAAACTAAGTTAGTTTTTAGAACTTCTTTCTTTTAATTTAAAAAACGCTGGCCATCTTTTAACATCGAGGATGAGAGAGAAAGAAAATAAGCTTGAGTGTTGGCCGGAGTATCGGCACTGCTTTCGGGCTCATCGTTAGACTCCCGGCAATGAAAATCGGTCCGCTAGCTCTTCTTGTCGAGAGCTCTTCAATAGTAGTAGCAGTGTGTCTTGAGCTGGCTTGGTTAAGGTGAATCAGGCTGCGTTTGGAAGTTGGAAACTGAAAATTTAGGAGGCATTTTCCAACACTATCAACGTTGAGTAGTTGGGTCCTTGCCGAGGTTTGATTCTGGTGGTGGGGGGCTTCCTTTAGTAGGGGTGGTGCCGTTGTTTCTAGAGGTTAGCGGTGGTGGCGAAGGTGAATCATTCGCTGCCGTTTAATGGTTTCTTCCCGACAGCTTCGCAGCTTGATTTTTAAAGCTTTCTTCCTTCCCTCATGATCCTCTTACCGACTACGTCGTTGTTAGAGGCTTGCGTCAACGATGCATTAACCATTGGATTTATCTTCCTTACATTCTCTGCCCTTTTCCGACCATCCCGAGAGAATTTATCCTTAATTACATTAATAAATATTTTTTTATTGATGTAATTATTTAATTAAAAAATTATAAATTAAAAATAAACGGTAAAAATCCTATCCCGAAAATGTTGTCAAGATTATCCTTACGAAACGAAAACAATCGTTCTAAGTTAATACTTAAAAAAAAAAAAAATTAATAGTTAATAAGAAAGATACTTTAAAAAAAAAAAAAGTTAATAAGAAAGAAACTTTCAAAAAAAAAAAAAAAAATTAATGAGAAAGAAGTTCAGAAGAGGGGAAGATGGCGGAATCAGCATCAGCACCATCAGCATCGGCGTCGGAGGAGGTGAGGAGATGGAGGACGGCGTTTCTGAGTTTGAGAGACGAAACGGTGACTGCTGCAGATGATAATAGTAATAGTGACGATGGTGATAATAATGATATTGCTCAGCTCCTCCACCATCTACTCTTCTCCCATTCTGAGATTCTCATCTCCGCCGCTCCCGACCTCCCATCTCACGAGGTAAAAAAAAAAAAAAAAAAGAAAACTAAACTTTACTCTGTTGATGAATTCATCAAATCAAATCAAATGATTTGAATTAATCAAATGAAATGACATAACTCTCTGTTGTTGATTTGAATCTGGAATCTGATAATTCTCATTTCGTTATATACTGTACATAATAAAAAAATAAATTTGTTTATGAATATTAGGTGACCTCGGATTTGGTGTTTCTGCTGGAGTTAGTTGTTTTGGTTTGTGCTCAGAATGATGAGATTGAAAACAAAAGTAATAGTCGAAGTTTGTTCACCGTTTTGTCCCGGTTCGTCCACGACGTATGCCATCGCGTTCCTCTCCAACTGAATTCATGTTCCTGGAGTTTGCTTCTCCGCTGTCTCGGAAACATGCTCGACATTTTGATCCCTACTACCAGTACTAGTGCTACAGCCTCTCATTCTTGCATCGAATGTTTATCCACCTTAAAGTTAGTCCTAAAACACACACTCACTCGCTCTCTCTCTACTCTTGTTGCAGTTCCTAAGTAGACTAAAACTAACACAATACGCTTTCTGTTTGCTTTGTTTGTTTGTTTGTTTGCGTGCAGATGCGTTGTGAGTGGCTATCAGAGGAAGAGCTCGCCTTCGGATGACATCCAACTTGTCGAATTCCTGCTCCAAGTCATTTCCAGGGCTCATTCCCACTTGTCTTTGTGGGAAATTCAGACCATTTGCCTTACCCTACTCTCCCAAACCATCTCCAGACTCGGATCGCAGCACTTTCCTTCTCAACTTTGGATATCTACTGTCGAGGTAGGTCGCTTTTTTATCACATTGATGATACTAATTTGTATACAAATTTCATACATTTACAACGCGCTTGCTCATGTTTAATTTTCTCATTTGCTTTTTGATTTTGATTTCAGGTGTTTAGGAAAGTGATGGATGTGTTAGCCTCCAACTCCATCCTCCTCCAAGACAATGTCATGACCAGGTTAAATGTCCACTCCATACTCCATACTATCACTTGTTTTTTTTTTTTGCTTTGAATCAAAAAGAGATGGATAATCATTGTTTTGTTTGTCTTTTAATTCAGGTTCTATGCGGCTCTTCTCCATTCTCTCCATTTGCTTCTTAAAGATCCAAAGGCTTCCCTTTCTCACCACGTAAACTATTTACACTCTACTCTCTACAGTACTATGTAAATGTAAATGCAAATGCAAATGCAATTAATTATTCTTGTACAAGAAATAAGACATATTATATCATATTGATTATATATATATATATATATATTAATTCATTTCAGGTCTCAAGTTTTGTGGCTGCCTTGCGAATGTTCTTCACTTATGGAATTGTTGCGACTACATACAGGCAACTCAGTTTGAAAAACGACTTTGATTCTCCTTTGGAACAACAACCTAAACCTACAAAGCACGCTCCATACAGGCCTCCCCACTTACGCAATAAGAACCGAACATCTTGGACGGATCATCATGAATCTTCTGCACTAGATTGTGCATCCTCAGATTCAGACTATAGTGATAGTGATGGCCCAATGAAAGACACCGACAGTCTCTGCAAATCCAGGATTAGGGTAGCTGCCATCGAGTGCATACAGGTAACTTACAACTTCTTCTTCTTCTTCTTCTTCTTCTTCTTCTTCTTCTTCTTTACTTTTTATATTCTTTAAAATGAAAGATTCTAACATACATCTATGCAATTTGTCAATTTGTAAATATGGGTTGAAGGATCTTTGTCAGGCTGACCCCAAATCATTAACCACCCATTGGATGCTCCTCTTGCCAACCTCTGACGTATTACAACCAAGGTGAAGCACTAATTCTTCCGATTTATCATCACTATTCTCTTTTTAAAACTTCCCACCAGATTTCTTAAATTTCTCTGCTTTATTGTTTATTTTATGCTGCTTTCTGTTTTTCAGGAGGTTTGAAGCAACTCTAATGACATGTTTGCTATTTGATCCTTATTTGAAGGTATTATTAATCTCGATTTTCACGACTTTCTTTTGGCAATTTGTTCAAGATAAAGGACCCTAAATGTTTAGATGTTCCTCAAGTGGCGCTCGTAGCTGACTCTTGCTCTTTGTGTGATATCTAGGCACGGATTACATCCGCCTCAACCCTGGCAGTCATGCTGGATGGGCCTTCTTCTGTCTTCTTGCAGGTTGCAGAATACAAGGAACCTTCAAAGTGTGGATCTTTTACTGCGCTTTCAATTTCCCTGGGACATATCTTGATGCAGCTTCATACAGGTTAAGAAGTTCTGTTTCCAAGGCACTTTTTTCTATCGATACAATAAAGCATGATCTTTAAATTCAAAGTTTTACCTTTTCCTCTGGTGTAGGCATTCTTTACTTGATTCAGCGAGAAAATCATGGTAGATTGCTGGTGTCCTTGTTCAAGATTCTCATGCTTTTGATATCCTCTACACCGTATAAATCTCTTCCCATTCTCAGTATTTTTTTTTTTAAATATTTGCTACTGGTCATTTATCTGTATTATGAACATTACTTTTTTGACGTGTTAAGTTAAATCAAATTGCCAATACAAAACAAAAGAAGTACTACTAAGCTTATAAACTGTGAACATAGACCCTGGTTCGTACTCTAAGGCAGTGTTTTCTTACTAGCCAACTATTAGTGAGTAATGCCTTTTTTATGTGTACTTTCCACCCTAGATTCTGTTTCATAATCTTAAGGCAGGGATAATGTTGTGCTTTAGTTGTACTTGTCAGTGAGTGTTTAGTGGCAGCCTGGGACTGATCCACAATGCTCCTTCGTGAAGTATCTTCATGCTTGGCCATCTTTCCATATTTTGTCAAAGCGCGCCATCTGTCCTTATTGTTGTTTTTAATTTATATACAGATATTCAAGAATGCCTGCTGATCTGTTGCCGA